TAACATATTTCACAATATATTATATTCTCATTTAATTCAAAGCTTTGCAAAGCTTTTTTTTATGCTGTCATTTGCTAGTAACGCATTGGATGTTAATTTGTAAGCAATGATGTGCTTAGTTTATTGACAGATAAAAAAAAAGCAGGCACTAAGCAAGTTTTGGGGTAAGAACACCCGCTTTAAATTAGTTTTTTTGAGACATAATTTTGCTAGCAAATCTTCTTCCTCTTTTTGTTTGTTACTTCCTCTACAATAGAGATAATTTGGCAATACTTTGAATAGAATATTTGGAATAGAAAAATATATGCTCTTAGTGATGTTTTCAATCCCAAATACTTTTTCATAGGGTCAAATTGGGAGCAATTTTAGGAAAAAAATGCATAACATAAGAACATTGTCTTGTTGCAAACAAGTGTTTAGATAATAGCCAGCACAAGTGACTTATGAACTTCCCTTAAGTTTCTGTATTATCTGATTACCTGGAAGTAAAAAAGAATTTTTAGACTGCTTTCTTTAGCTTTGAGTGATTCCTGAATAATAGTTCTCCAATAAATGGTTGGGAAAAGCACTTGTCCCACAGGAAGAAGTTGCACAGTGAAAGCCTTAACCTCTGTCATTGCTGGGTGTTGTGGAGTGCTGTACCTAAATCTGCTTTATCAAAGGACATCTGTTACTGTCTGCTGATGAAACATGTCTCAGAGCTGTCAGTGGGGAAGAGGGAAGAAAGAGAAGCTGCATGTTTTGGGATAGTGGTAAAATGCTGAATTTACTGTACCCAACTGAAGACCAAAGGGAACGATTCTGGCTTTGACTTTTTTAATTTATTTTTTTCAGTATGTTTAGGGTTTCAAAAGCATTTCCTAGTGTACAGACCTTTTTTTGTTTCTTGCTGGAAAGTGGCTTAGAACAGTCTGAAACCACTTCTTAAATTCTACCAGCATAACAAGGGCAACACCCGGCTCAGGGCAGCGGCACAACCTGACTTTCCCCATCAAGGATATTTGGAAGGGACTTGCTGCTCTCTGTTTTCTCTCCAGTATCACACACTAAATTATGCTGTTACTCTTTTAGTTCCTTTGTTCATCCTATGGATCGCTCTAAACCCTTCCTAAAGTGCTGGCAAGCCTCTGACAGCATCCCCACTGGCAGAGCATCCCTGTGCAGTTTCCTTGGAAACACAGCACCAAAATGCCCTGTGAGGAGCAGCAGGGAGAGGAAAAGGAATGAAGACAGTTGCTTTGGGATTTTCCCCCCTTAGTTTTTTAATTTTCCAAACTATATCAAATATGTAAGCAATCTACTACAAACAGCAGAGTCAGTGTGGTAATCGGGCTGTAGTTATGTGTTAATCACTGAAGAAATAGAGCAAGAGTGGCCTTGTCTGTCTGTGTGGATTAGAGTCCAAATTTTATTTCTTGCTTTCCATGTCAGTGATTTTTGCAGCTTTTGATGTCTGCAGGGGCTGCTGGAGTCCTGTGGTCAGTTTTGGGACTAACACAGTGAAGCTGCAGGAAGTCCTACGTGTGTTTGTAGGTCAGAGAAAGCCCTCACCTCTCCTAAGGTGGAAAAGGAGGAAATGTTTTCCTCCTACACTTTCTCCATGTTCACATTTCTTTGAACCCTATAAATTACATTCTGCAAGGGCAGGTTTTGAGCCTGTTGCTTGCTGAAGTGTCTGCAACAATAAATGACACTAATAAAGAACAGCTGGAGTTTTATTATTTGTGTTGCCACTGTTGCACAGTGCCCACAGCTTATTTCTGCTGCAGCTCCATTGGCTTCAGTGGAAAACAGAGCAGGAGAAAATTGCCATGTTATTTTGTTCCTTGCAGACTCTTTTATGGCTTTCATCATATCAGGACTTGCATTGCTCCTGAATGGCATATTAACTGATGAGAATAAAACCTCTTACCTTGTTTTGTTAGGTGTCATCTTGGGGTTGGTTTTGGTTTGCTTGTTTGAGTTTTCCCCCCCTGATTTTGTTTTGGGGTTTTTTGTTTGGTTGGTTGGGGTTTTATTTGTTTTGCATTCTTCTTTTAGGAGAAATTGAGGAGCATTTCACATGCATAGATTTTACTCTGTATCCAGCATTGGAGTACTGTGAGAACAGGGTTGTTGGCTATAACTTGTACCCTGACACTGCTTGCACAGGTATATCCTATTGCTGAAACCTAGAGATGGCTGAAGGCCTGCAGAGACAAAGTTTTCTAACCAAATGTAGATATTAGGGAAAAATCCAATGGTGTTGACTCTGGTAAAATATGGGCTTCTCAAGAAATCTAGAAACTTCAAATAATACACTAATAATAATTACAAACAATCCACTAATACTTTCTGTCAGTGCAGAGCAAACTGCACAGTTTTTGCAAACCCTGGTATTGTGTTCTCCATTCTAGAAAAACTTTTGAGCTGATCCGATTTGATGGAACAGCTTTTCATCTGTGGTGACAGCTGTTCTTCTCAGTGGGAATGCACTAATACAGACACTGCTAACAATGGTTTTCTACATCTTCTTGTTCACATCTTCTTGCTGGTCTTAACCAAGTTGAAAAAGAAATCCTCAAAGGATTCTGCAGGTGAAGACTTCTGGAGGGATGGTAGGGTTATTAGTCTTGGATGGTCCTAATTTGCTGTAAAGCTCTCAGAGCGCTGGCCTTCAGAAAACCTGGCACATAAAAGTGGCAAAAAGTCCAGTGAAACCTGGAGCTAACCCTGTGATGCTTATGTATCTAAATGGTGTTATTATGCTCCATATGGCTTGAAATCAGAAAAGCAGTTATTAGGCAGTTGCCTGTAGCTTTATAGTATTCTTTTGTCAAGTTAGAGACTGGAATCTTTCTAGTTTTTCTCTTCTAGTTTTTCTTGTTCATTGTGATGGCAGATTCCTGGTCCTTCCCCCAGCTTTTGTCTGTCTGTACCTGTGCTGTGTAATAGGACAGCCTGGAATCTGAGTCCCAGGTTAGGAAAAGTGGGTAAGTAAAGAGCTTATACAGCAGCCTGGCAAACACAGCCCTTAGCCTGCAGGGCAGGGCTTTGGGAGGCTGATGGTTTCCCAGATGATCCCAGTGAATATGATTGCACACAAAGAAGTGGGGGGAGGTAAAAGGGTGGGAAATGGGAAGCAGATACAAGCTGCAGCTGAAGGATGCTGGCTCTGCAATACTGAGGAGCTGAACAAAGCTATCTTTCTGCTCCTCCCACCCACTTTGTATTCCTTAATAGCAGTGGAATATCGTGCTATAGAAACCAGTTTCTGCAAGGGAAACATCTGGCTCCTTAAAGCTCAAGCAGTGGCTTGAGGATTTACAAAATATTCATAATACTTTATTTCTTTTAATCATATATAAGGTACTTCTGAAAACAAACCAGGGGAACACTCGAAGTTGAATCCAGGTTTATATTTTTCTGTATTTCCTCTGATTATGTCTCTTGCTATTAATCTGATTTTTAGAATGATATGAGAAAGAATGTTGCTCAGTAGGCTGCAATTCCTTCAGATCACTTTAGTCCATGTCACTGCAGAGCATTGGATTTTGAACCTAAACTTGTAAACTTAACAACAGAGGCGTGACCTGAAAGATTGCCTGAACCCCTCACAGCACATTAGGAGTTACAATTGTACAGTCAGATGCTTCAGATCTCTGTGAGCATCTGTCCTGAGCCTTGGGTGCCATTGCTGCTGATGCACTTCCAGCTCTTATTCCATGAAAAGCAGGGTGGTGTCCTCCAGCCCTGCAGCTCCAGGCTGGCTGAGCTTTGGTTGCATCCAGGGAGGTGCCTGGGGAGTCCTGGAGCAAATTGGGTCCTTTTGGGTGTCCCAGAAAGATGGGCAATAAGGGCAGTAGGAGCTGGAACTTCAGGGAAAGAAAAGGCCTCTTTGGCAGAAATTACAGGTTGTAGGTGAGTGAGAAAGGGATAAAATAGGCCTGTACAAAATTATCAGGTAGGATTCATACTATAATAGGAATTTTCTCCTTCTTTGGCCACCCTGTAGGAAAGAGGCTGGCTGATCTCCATGGAATTCATATAAATGTAAATATTTCTGCTTTTTCATAGGACTTCTTTGCTTGTACTGTTGTGAAGAAATAACTTGCTTACACTTTTAGGCAGTTGCAACTTTTTCAGCCCTAATTTCTCTGCATTATGTATATATTGTATTCAAGTCCTTCTGGGGGCATGATCCAGTTATGTCAGCTGCACTTGTTAAAGCAAAGAAAAATGCATTTTGTCCACCCCAAATCTGCCTCCCATTTCTTGCTTGTGCAAGATGCTCTTTGTCTGTGTTTGAAGCCTGTCACCCTGCCTTGATGTACTTTTTCCCTCTGCAGACTTGGTCGTCTGACAGCGCTGCCTCTCACAGTAATTTGTAACACCCTTAAAAGCTGTGACACAGAGATGGTGCAGCTTGAGGGCTCTGCCTGCCTTGGAGAGCCAATAAAATCTGTTTAGATGGACTCAGGCTGTCCTTCCATGGCAAGTTCCTCAGCTGTGCAGATGAGAATTTCAGGGTCACAAGCTAAAGCAGTGACTTTTCCATGTGATTTTTGATCTCTCTTAGCCAAACTTAATGTGATTGCATTGAAGGACCAACCTGTACTTAAGCAAAAAATAATGATTTTCATATTTTGGCTACTTTTCCAAATTTTACAAAATTTTTTCTTTTTTCTTTACCCTTCCCTTTCCCTTGCCCTGCCCTGCCCTTCTTCTTATATTTTGCCTCTTAGCCCAAACTATAAAAGAGCCAAATATGGGTCCTAAAATGTTTTGCCTCTGAAAATATGAGTGGAACTTTAAAACTTCTGAATGACAGGATAAATGACCTACAAGAAGTTCTCCTTATTCACTTGATGTGTGAGATATGATAAAAGAATATCTTTAAAGTAAAATTTTTTTTCAAAATGCCTTGAAACCACATTAATTCCCTGCAAGGGAATATAAACAAATGCTTCAGCACTTGATTAAAAATACTGGAGTATTATAATTCTCTTTTCTTTGTGCAGAAACACGAACAGATAGAACAAAGAAGCTGTTTAGACACTACACAGTTGGATCCTATGACAGCTTTGATGCTTCAAGGTAAGAATTTTTCCTTTTGGTCACAATGTTTACAAAATCTTCCTGGGTTTTATTTAATTGTTACTTTTGGTTTAGATTTTGGAGGGAGAGAGGGGAGCAGGTTATTAAACAGAGCTTTTTAGGATATCATTCATCATCAAAATTGGTTTTTGTAACAGCTTGCTTTGTTCATGTGGGATGGGTCTGCAGCAATAGTGAGTAGTGAATTAATGTGTCACTGTTTTGTTTCACGAGTGGGGAGAGAGATCAGCCTTTCACAGGAGCAGTGCCAGCTGCCTCTGCAGTCAAGGACCACTTCAGTTATTGGATTCTTCACGAGATCAAACCTTTTATCTGTTCTGGCTGACAGGGAAACCAAAATAAAATGTTGCCATTTGTTGTTCTGAACAAATCTTTACAACCTAAGTAGACCTGAAACTGCTGGAAATGAGGCATTTAGAAATTGGGTGATTTATGTGCGGTTTCTGCTGAGAATTCATAATTTTTAAGCAGGTTCTTCTCCCATGTCCATATACCTTGGACATCCAGGACATCCTTGTAGATAGCATGGTTTTTAAAACACACAGCCTCAGTTAGCTGTTGGTGTCCTCTTGGGAAAATTTGGGTGGCGTACTGGAATCCTTACGGTTTTCAACTGACTGTTCAATTACAGCTTGAGGGTTTTTTTTGTTTTCAAGAAAAGCACCTGTATTGTAGGAGAGGAATTCCGAAATGTTCAAAGCAACGGTGGCACAATATTCAAAGAGAAGAAGAAGGTTTATTAGGTGATCTTAGTTCTTGTTCTGAGGATCATGTGTTGTTTTTCTGTCAGTTAAACAATCTGAGGAGGGAGGAAGGAGTTCATGCTTGCTGAAATAGTTTGAATACCCAAGATGTCCTAAGAAGTATTTGAAAAACACATCAATTTGTCATCCCTTGAGTTGTGATCTGATTGAGTGTTGCAGTGTTGGCTGGAGAGGGAAGGGTTGGTGAGATGGTGCGATGGGGAGTTCCCAAAGCTTTGCACCGCTGGACACAAAGATTGGCTGGAGAGGCTCATAATGGTGAAGGTGTCAAGAGCTGGCAGCCTGTACTAGGAAATAAATAACAGCAGAGTTCACTTTTTGCAAGATTCTTTGGGGGATCATTGTTCTGTAAGATTCCCAGCCGTGGCTCTGTGTTTCAGTGCTAATGGATGGGGTGGTTTCTGCCCAAGCAGAAGCTGTGGCCTCAGTGTGTTGCCTCTGAGATACCAAACAATCCCACTTGGAAAGCTCCTGCTACTTTCTAACAACATTACAAAATGTCAGTTCCATCAAAACCTTCCTGTCTTTTTCTTTTTGGAGGGAGGGAGCTATTGATTCTAGAGCATTTGGATTTTTTGTTGTCCTTTTACCAAGAAAATTCAGGTCCATTCTTGGGAGAGAATAGTGTCGTCTGAAATGTGGTTACAGAGCTTGTTTTGAAAGCAGGAGGCCAAAAGCCAAATTCAAACCAAGGGCTTGAACCTCATTTCAGTGGTGCTCAAGTATTTTTAACCTGTAAACTGTTGGGGATGAGTGGATCATGCTCTGCTTTTGGGAAGTCACAGTAAGTGTGTGAGATGTTGGGGGAAAAGTGATTTATTTTTATTTTTTATTTTTTCCTAAGGTTTATGTAGTGCAACAGTAAAGCTCTCAAACAATTCACATTACTTGATTCAAGACTAGAGCTGAGAAGGAAAGTTTATCAGAAAAAAATGAGGGCTTGTACAGCCTTATTATTGATAAGTTATTTATTAAATATGTCTGCAATTGTTCCTGATTCTGGCATTGATATCTTTTAATTATCTGAGCAGTGAGAGGGAAAGCAATAGAGTTCTCCTGGCACTTTGTGAGTAAAGCAAGTCTTTGATGAAAACTCTTCAGTGGATCCATTTTGAGCAGTAAAAGTGGAAACTGAGAGGGAAAGGTAGGAGAGGGTACAATTAATGGGAAATTCCAAGAAATACAGTGGAAAGGTAGACTTGCTTAACACACTTTTAAGCAGAGAAAAGTGTGGTAATTTAGAATGTTTATCAGTAACACTAGAAAAAAATACAAAAACTGGTTTGGGTGTCTAAGTTTCCAAAACTAATTAACCGCTGGAAACAGAAATGCTTGTTCCTCTGAAGTAGATTTAACAACTGATTGTAATTATGTATTTACAGAGAACTTACACTGTGGTGAAATTTAAACTTCTTTTTGCATTCTTTACAAAGTGAATGCTGCTCTGATACCTTTTTCTTGCACACACAAAAAAGAGAATTTGAGGACTCTCTGTCCTAAACCTGCAGTAGCACTCAAAGTTGTGTCTCAGATACTTGACTGAGGCTTCAAATCGGCTTTTTGTGCATTTAAATGGAAATTTTCCTGGTGCTTACGTATTGCTGCTGAGGAAAAAGAATTTGCATGTAAGAATCTGGCTGGAGATTAGTATGTCTTGTGAGTATGTGGAGATTAATTACCTCACATGGGCTTCTCCAGGGAGGGGTATTACTAAAAGAGGCAAACAAGGTGTCAAACTAACAGCAATTCTTGGTATTTGTACTGCTTTGATGACTTTCTCTGGTATCATTTCCCATCAAAGTAGGGGAAAAATACAGTAAAACAGATTTAAGGCAGGCAGCTGAGGTTTAATAAACATTTGTCAGAAGGCAGTTGTTGCCTGTGTGCTAAGTAAGAACAGCTCTGAATCTGAAGTATTAAAAAGCTGCTCCAGTCCCTTTCTGGGGATGATGTGGGGGAGTGAGGGGAAGTGCCTGCCCTCTTCTTTTTTTCCTTCTCCCTCCCAAAGGGCAAAAAATTGCTGAGTAGAAACACTCTGTTCAGAAATCTGTGTTAATGGGCTTATTCACATTCAGGAAAATACATTGTACATGGCATTTTTCATCTTTAGGAAAATGTGCAGCTTGAGTAATGGAGGTTCATTAAATCCTATTCCAGCTTTGCATAAGAGATCAGTTAACCATACATTACCTTCAGGAAAATGGGGAGGATACTTACTAATAGGAAGGAAGGCAGTGAGACTTGCTTACCAGTGCAAATAGTCATTAAATATCACACAAATATAATATTTGAAACTCCCAGGTCCGATTTCTTATCTGCTTTAAGTGCTGATAACAGACATTAATTCTGTTATGCAGAAGTGGCGTCTCTTGCTGCTGTTACTGCTTCTGTTGACATGGATTTCTTTACTATTTTATTAAATCGTTGTAAGAAATAGTCCCGTTCATTTTCCTTTGATCTGATGCAGATGGACAAATGCTGGAGGGGGGGATAGGCTTTGTTGCAAAGACAACATTGAGAGGAGGTAAAGTTTGTTGTGCTACCAGGAGCTCTTGTTGGACAAACAGTAAATACACATTCCCTAAATATTTGTGGCAGGCTGCAGCTCTGGGGGCTGAGATGGCAAGTGGGATGGGCAAAGATTCCTTCTTTCCCTGGGAAAGGCTTTCAAAGTATTATAAATACTCTTCACGTCCATTTAAAGTTCGTGCCTACTGTTAATTCAAAGAAAATTATTCGTAGGCCTTAAATCAGTTAGTTCAACAAAGCTGGATTCCAGTTTAATAACAGAGATGGTGCTAAGGCATAGAGCAGACGTTGAAATTTTTTAACCAAGTCTATATTTAAAAAAAAAAAATAAGGTAAACCTTTAGAAATGATAATTTTTTAATCTGCTTTTTAAGTGAAGTGAGGGAATTGATTAATTCTCTCAAGATAGGACAGTGAATTGTTCTGTCAGGAAAATCAGAGGAAGCAAAAGGAAATTATCAAATTAAAATATGTGGGATTAATTTGTTTAATTTCAATTGTGAAATGTTAGCACCTTTTAAAATGTGATGTGACTGATAATACAGTGATAACAGACATAAATAATATGAACTATTTTGGTACTTGGTAAAAATGACAAACCTGATTTGGTGGAAAACATGATCCAGTTGCCTCCATCAATTTGGAAACTTTAGAACATGGCAGTGGAAACTTTTCCTACTGCATTAATTGCATCATCTCCCTCCCACCCCCAGCAGAGCAGGGCATAGCAAAAGTCAATAGCAGAACTGAATGCCAACTTCAGTGCAGTCATGAAACATGCACACAAATCCAGGCTTTTCTGCCTAATCTGTGTCTTCTCTTCCCACTGCTTTTGGCTTTCACGTGTGGGATTTTCTCTCCCCACTTTAATGGTCCTGCTCACTCCATGGCAGAGGTTTTCTTGGTGCCATCCCTTGCCATCCTGTGGCTCCAGCAGTATGAAGAAGCTCACAGGAGAGGATGTGATGACAAATAACCCTTTCCAAAGGCTTGTTGGCACAGAGTTAATGACAGGACCAAACTGATTTGCCTTATGGTTTTTGCTCTGTTTTTCTGGGTGGAGAAGAGGGAGGTTGGATGGTGTAGCCTGGGAGGTAGGTGTAAGAAAGCTTAATTGAAAGCTTAATTCATTAACCCTAATGTCCCTCCTTAGAGCCAGGTGGCAGCACCCATGTCCCAGGAGCGTAGAAGTTGACAGAAGCAACTCTTCCAAAGCCAATTCACATACAAAAACCTCATAAAAAAAGAGAGGGATTCTTCTCAGATGTTCTTACCCAGCAATTCTCTGTTGATGATGTCATTCTGCACTGTTAGGTAGAGCAGCATAAGCTTTAAACTTAAACAGCTCAAAGACACTCTTTGGCACAGCTGGAGCTGTCTGCCCCTGTAATTCATGTTGTGGAGAGCTTTTTAAATTGAATTTTTTTTTAACCCACAGAATGTGCCTGTTGAATTTGTCCCAAAGCTGTGATGTAAGCGGTGCTGTCTTGTTAGTTAAAGCATAAGGTGTGTTGTGGGGACGGAGGAACACACAACGACCTCACGATCAATAAGCGCGTTCGATTTATTATCTATAAGGCAGTCATTTTATAACATGTGTAATAAGCTCATACATATTGCAAAAGCTAAGCTCAGGATTGGTTGGCCTTTAATATTGCTTACATACTTCTGAAGTTATGTCTGGAGTTTTAGTCCCTTTTCTTTATCTTCAGTACCAAATCCTTTTTTAGACTCTCGGTTCCCTCCCTGCTACATTCTCTCTGTCACATTCCCGTTTTGCTCCATTCTCTGTCACGTCGACAACTTCCAAGGACACCATCCTTCAATGCCCCCTCTCTGTTAACCATTCTTGAGCCACACCATCCAGAGACCCCCCCTCCACAGTGTGTTACACATTTTTTTTTAGTGGAAACTCTGAATTTGATACAGAAATATTTTCATCTGGTTTGATATCTGCTTTCATGCGGATCTTTTAAATAAATAATCTTCCTTGTGGAAAAATGCAATTACTTATCTGTTTAAATACGTATTTAAAATTTGACAGAAACTTTTTGTGGAGTTCTGGTCGCTGCAAGTGATGAGGAATGTAGGACTGAGAGGGAGCAAAGGGCTATTCCCTTGGTTATGGTCTGCAGTGCTCCTGTGTCCATGGTGGGGTGAACTTGGCATCTGTGCTTGCTGCATGCTGCTGGCTTGGCAGCAATCCACTGAATCCTGGCAAATGGACCTTCCCAAAAACTGAAGGGATGCATGAGAGCTGATATTTTATCTCCTGCTTCCCCCATTTTCCTGTTGGTTCTCCCTAGGCTGGCAGAACAGTGAGAGGCACTGAGAGAAGTGTCATTAAACAGAGAATAAAGAGAATAAATTGATTTTTCTGCATTGGAGTTATAAGTAAATAATCTGGGGTTGGAACTGGATGATCTTTAGGGTCCTTTCCAACCCAAACATTCTATCATTCTGTGAACTGATCTTTTATTTGTTTTCTGTTGCATGGCACCAGTTCCACCAGACTTATGTTTCCTGTGAATTTTTCCTGTCCATGTGATCTCTTGCAGGATCTGGATTAAGGATATTAAAATAGTGCTGTTCACTTCTGACAATAAATCCACAATTCCTCTCACTTTATTCTGTGATTGCCATATTGATAAGAAGTTGAAAGTGATTTTGCAGTTGTTCTTACCTGCAGGCATGTATATTAAACATAATTCTAGGTTTCCTCTGGTGGAAAGAAATAAAAGCAGCAGTGTTTTAACTTTTTTTGCTTATATCCATAGCTCAGTTTTTGCCTGCAAGATGGTAGCAAAAATATCTGAGTAGGCTTATAGTTGTAAAGAAATAGATATTTAGAACCGTGTAATGCAGAGATGTGGTTACACATGAGTGTTCACTGAGAATTTAGGGATTGAAAATCTCTGCATGTATGATATTCTTGGTTCTTTTAGGCACAGAGAACAGTCAGCACCAGCCAACTTGTAGAAACAAAGCATGAAAAATATTTTATGTGTATGTTATGTGTAAAGTTGTCTTTTTGGACCTGCCTATTGTCTGTTCTGAATTAATTAATTAACTATAATAGTCTGATAACGCTGAACTGCTCTTAATATGAGGCAGAAAGGGTAGCTTAGTTTTAATACCTTGTGCCTCATTAACTTGAAGAGCATAATTTAATACAATTTGAAAAATTGCATATGTGCTTAAGCAAAATTAAGGCATTGTGGACTCTGTGGAACAGGTGGAGATGTAAAATGTGAAGTTTTCCATTTATGGTTGTTTGATTTCTAATAAGCAACTTTGCACTTTGCCTGCCCTACAGTTGTGTGCTGCCACGGTGGAGCTTTTTATGTGAGTGACTACAGCAAATACTTAAAGTAGTTGCTAAAATAGGAGGTAAAAAGGGTGGGGGTGTGTGTGTATCTGAACTGGAGTGTCTCTCCATTGAAATCTGTAGTATAATTGCACTATAAAAGTCTAATACAATTTCAGTAAGATGCAAAACTAGCATTGAGTGATAAAAGTTTTCATTCAGTTCTAAGTACATTTTTAAGTTGTTTGTTGCCTTAATATTGAATTTTGCTTAAACCACTTCAGTAAGATTTTAGCTTTTTGCAACTAATGGTTTGGTAAGCAATGATTAAAATCTGTCTGACATTTTGTGGGGTAGATATTTGCTAAATTTTTAATGATAAGTGTTAACAAAGGAAGATCAACAGTTTCCAGGACCGAAGTTGGAAAAAAAAAAAAATAGCCTTTCCCAAATTGAAAGTTAAAATGCTCTTTCTGAAAGACTTGTAGGATCTACCTCTATTGCTGGTCCAAACTGAAATGTGTGACTGTAGGTACAGAAGATGCCAGCAAGGGCTGTGATCTGGGGGATGTGGCATTTCCTGCACAGCAGCATTTCCTCTGCAGCTCCTCTGACCAGATGCTGGAGGAGAGGAGGGATTCAAATGTCAGAAATGAGAGCAGCAGTCTGTGTCCTGTGTATGGGGTGGAATAAAGTTTCCTAAATTGGAATAGAGAAAATAAGGGACAGGGAGAAGGAGAAGGAAGGAGAAGAGGGGAGCTGGAGTTGTGTTTCTTTATAAATTGAGTGGAGTCAAACCCTAGGAAGGGGCACCAGCTAAAGAACAAGCAATAGCTGGTTCCCCTGGATTAAAGAAGATCTGGGCTTGAGTCCCAAGTGTGTCAGACTGCTCAGACTTTACCCATGCTTGCTTCTGCTGCTGAATGCCGAGAGCCTGGAGGATGGAGGGATTCTCCATTCAAATCCTTGGAAATCTTATTCTTTCCCTGAGCCAGGAGGCAGATGCTCCCTCCATCCTCAGGGACTGGGGCATGCAGTCCACATGGGGATGCTCCACTGGAATTATTGGCATATCCACCAGCCGAGTAGCGGGGATGTTGCTGGGGCTTCCTGCTCTCCCTGACATAAAATATCATCCTGTATCCCAGAGAAATAACATCTAACAAAGGCTTTATTTAGACTAAAATGTATCCACAAAAGATTTGCTTCAATGGGTGTTTCACTGAAACTGATTTCATGGCAAAATTCTGAGCAGAGAAATAGTGAATGTTAAATATGTGCATTGGGAAGTACTGATAACTACATTTTTAGGAAAAAGACTGTTACCCAGGTATTTTCTAATTTCTCTATCTTTTAAATGAAAAAAAAAAAATTTAGAAAGTATTTCAGGTCCAGATAACAGAACTAAGAGTTTAGTGCTAAAGTGGAGTTGAATGGAGTAGATTATGTGATCCTTTAGACTGCCATGTCCAAAGCACCATTAGGTTTGTGGAACAGTTGTAACTATAGCAAAAGTGGTTTATATCTCTACTCAAATATCATAAATTCTGAAATACACTTAAAATTAAACCTGTGCATCTTTAGTTATTCAGTTGAGTTGAAATGGTAAACAAACATTTTTTAACCTGTCTCCAGTACCTAGAAAATAAAAACTTCATATTGCCAGAAACTGCACGTCAGTGCAACCAGTGA